TCTCTCTCTCTCTCTCTCTCTCTCTCTCTCTCTCTCTCTCTCTCTCTCTCTCTCTCTCTCTCTCTCTCTCTCTCTCTCTCTCTCTCTCCACCCCCCCATATACACACAAAACAACACTCAGATGACCAGAGACTCACAGGCATCTCTCACGGTCCTGTAGTGCACACATGATGCAAACATGGAAAAATCTCACCATACATGTTGCCATGTACCACTCTTCAATTCCCAAGTTCAGGCACTGCTAGAGTACACCACATGAAACTTGCTTACATTTGCATTTCAACAAGCATCTGTTAGATTTCACACCATTGTTGATATGTTGCAAACGCCAGCTGACGAGAACTTACCGCAGAATCAAGATCAAACGTGAAATTTGCTGATGCATTGGCAAAAGGGAGACGGTCGTAGGCTGCTACTGCACCCTCATTATTGCTCATCGCCGAAACTGCATATGAAACTGGTGCGCCAGTTATTGCCATATGGGCATGCTTACTAGATGCCTCTCCACTTCCCTCAAATATAGGAGCATCCAAGGGCCCGCGACAATACACCACTCCACGTACCATCCCAGCCACCTGAATCACAAATAGAGCAGATACATAAAGAAATCCCATCCATGTTAGATGCAATGTTCAAGCTTCTGCAGAGTAATCCCTGTGTACCTTAAGACCTCATCTATTCTCTATATAAACTATCGAGTTTGGTGGTGCAAAACCACCAACACATATATACTCTTACGGTCTACTTAGTGCATAATGAACCTCATTGACACTAGCACGGGCCCCCCAGAGCGGACAATGCCCACACAGAAAAAGAACATGAACACAACGATATTCTCTGTGAGAAACAAAACGGGACAACATCTTCTTTGCGAAAAACAATTACTACAAACATGATACTCTGGACACATTCAACCTTCAACATACTAAATTAATTGCATGGATGCAGGGTTGTTTTGGCGCCTACCGCCTACGCCCGCCGTAGGCGGTAGGTGCGCCTACCAGTCGGGTCGACCCGTAGGCGGACCCGTCGGCGGTCATTTTATTTTTATTTTTCTGATTACATGGTCCATGTGCAGCTTGAGGAGAGCAGCCCAAATCCACAATATTTTTTTTGGGGGGTGGGGGG